CCTCGATGAGTGTCTTCGACGACCTCTTCTGTGCTAACGAGCACCTGTCGCTCAATACCACCGCGGCCTCAAGCCTGTCCTTCCCTCCCCCGTCTCTAAGTTATCATCCTGCCAGCACTAGCGAGACCGACGATGGACTCGACCACGTTCCACACTTTTCTCGATCGGATGGCACCGAATCCACCTCCTCGATCAGCACTGGCCCTTTCCCCGTTGGCTCTATCCGTCGTCGCCGCCGTGACAGCTCCCCCGATATGGGACCCGAACGCAAGAAGCAGGCGTTGTTGTTCGCGCGCAGCAGATGCTTAGAGTACCAACTCGAGGAGACCGCAGCTGACTATTTCAGCCAGGTAAGTGCTCACCTGTCGTGATACCATATTGCTTACCCATTCGCATCACAGCTCGATGCTGACCAGAGGAGCATTGAGACTTACATCCTTGTCAAGGCCCACTTCTTGTCGAAGACCACGGAAACGCTGCAGTCCAAGTCCTACAAGGTGCGTATCGCTCACCATCGCGCACCAACTGACCAATTCTCAAGCACCTGCAGGCGCACGTTCAAGATCAGGTTTTGGTGGTGATGGTGAGTCCGAATATCCCGGCCTACCTCAAGAACGCGGTCGATATTGTCATGGTGAGTCGCGCGATATGCTACATACGCTGGCACTGACCACATTCGTGAACTTCATCAAAGAGTCCCCCGAGTGGTTCAAGCTCGACCGTGCAACCCTGCACTCCATGGAGAAATGGAGGATCATTCGGACGACCGTCAGCAACGCGATGACCCGCCATCGTTCGGACATCAAAGCCATCGTAAGTTCACTCATTTGCTCTTCGACGCGCACAATTTGGCACACACTGATCATTACTATCACACTACAGATCGCAGCCTCGCTCGTCTCGAGCACGGACAAACTCAAGCCCCGCACAGGGGCTCAGGACATTATCGCCATGGTCAACGAGATCGCGCCGGAGTATATCAATACTGACTGCTCTCACTATACTCGCTTCGCCTTCCTTGTAAGTGTCATATCAGTACGCTCCCTATTGCGCTAACCCCAACCTTCAGCGTCAGTGTTACCTCAAGCATCGCCAAGTTCAAGCCAACGCCACCGAAGGCACAAGCACCGCCGATGCACGCGCCAAAAAGGACGACAGCTTCTGGAAGTATGTCGACGACGAACTCCAGAAGGCAACCGTCCAGACCAAGGCGAAGTCGACTTCCGATGCCCAGGCCGCCGCGCTGCTCAAGGAGTGAGTTCGCGCTGATTCCCGGGTAGTACATACTAACAATGCCTCAGGTACTTCGATCTTTGTCTCAAGGCTGACCTCCGTTTGTTCTCCATTCGCGACGGAGCCCTTCCCTCAGGCCCTGCTGATCTTCTGCCCATTCAGCGCGCCGTCAACAACTACATGGCGTCTGTCGTGGTGTGATCGCGGTCGGCTTGCTGCCTTGCTCTTATTTGTGTTCGTTTCCGCATGTGCTATACTGTTGCTTCCTCGCTCTCGTCTACTGTCATTTTTACCATTGTCGTCAATAGCATAATCGAATTATTCTAATATATCGTGTCGGTGCGACAGTGTGAACAAAATTGAATTCTAATTAATGGATGCTGTCGGTGCGATGGTCTGGATATCAAAATTATTCTACATCTGGCACACACTGTGAGCACCAAGGCTGGATATTTACTACAATTGTACATCCATTGTCGTTACGCTGTTCACAGGTCCTACAGAGCGAGTCTACGCACGATCTTACTCGGACATCGGTGTGCTATCCCAAGGAGTATGTCGACAGCATCAATAATTATTTTGTCGGAGTGATGCACGCGCGGGACATATTGCCGCGACGTGATGAAACGCTGTACAGTACATACAGACCAAAACATACTCCAGCACCCAGGCTTCGCCTGGGCGTGTAGCCTGGCCAGTTTCCTTCCAAATCCGAAAAATCTAAGCTAATCTGACAATTTTTAAGTGCTCCTGACGCATGTCGATTCTTGGCGCGGGGCACTGTACCCGGTACCTCAACCAGTAGCTATGTCGTAGCTCAGAAAGTGCAATGACACCAACTACTGGTCGAATGAACCCCTAGATGCTGCCGTCTTCGGCTTACAGTACAATCTGCTCGTGGTTGGTCTTTGCAATGGTGAGCCTTCCTGGAATAGTCAGAGCCACTGCATATTATCCGTCTGACCGTTGCAAGGCTTTAAATCAGCACATAACGGTAATAGTCAAGTGTGGATTATCCCTCGATGCCCCTCTCCTACGCAAACATATCCATCTGAGCTCTTCAAACAAGCCGTCCGTCTTCTGATGCTCATAGGCTGTGGCATGAAAAGCGTCTGGTTGTTCTAATCTTCATACTCGTTCAGTTTCTGGTCAGCTCGCTCAAAAGGCGAATTATTATAGACCTCCTTCGTCCCTCTAGCAGTCCGCTCGCCGTACATCAGTTCTTGATTGTCCACGTAACGTCGCTTTCGATGTCAACAAAACCTCCATGCGGAAATTAGTGCGCGTCCCATAACCATGGCCTGTCTTCAATCAGGCAGTACGTCTTTCAGCCTAGGTTGTTTCTTTCACTCGAGCTCGTCTTAGATCTTACATTGGGCTGGCCCGCCAGGATTAATAGCAACATGCTCATATGGTTGGAAGATCCTCTCTGCCAGCTGGATTGAACCGCTCAGTTCTGGATACAACTGACCCCGACTAGATCCCTCATGAGTTCGACCGCTGGCTCGACGGACCTCCCAGTCACATGGCTTTCTCTGATGGAGGTGCGTGTATTAGCTGTTCCTGACTGCAAGCCTGAGTATATCTTCCAGGATTCATTGGCCCACCGACCCGGCAGCGCAGTCCTTGCCGCTCACTCATCTGTCCCTCCATACAAGAGCTAACGACAGCCGAACTCATGCGGTGCAGGTCTCACTGCTCAATGTTCATCATGACATCGTGGGCGACCGCTGAAGTCGAATGTCGTAACAACCGATCAGGTCGTCTTTTACTCACTGAGCCTGGTCGCTCAACAATCCTTCTGGGAAGTCGCTGGGTAAGCCACAGATGCCACTGCGTACTACACCACACAGGAAGTATTTTTGTCACGAAATCATGGAGGCTCACTCGAGGTGTACAGTTACATTCATGGCTGACATAGGTAGAAACTGTCGTCAGTTTGCCTCGTTTGGAAACCTTACGAATGGCGAGGCTATAGAGCCGAGCCCTTTCAACAAGTGAAGTACCTTTCTCTTCTTGAGGCGTCAAAAGTGAGCTCTTTGATTATCTTATCCATGCATTGGAGGGCACGGTCAGCGCTGACTTCACTGCACCTGCCTTGTGAGCGGCAGGCATGCTTCGAGATACCGAAATGGCTTGAACAATGCCTGACAGGACTGTGGAACACCGCGACCCAACGTCGAAGTCGATCCATGGCGCGCCTCAGGACGCCGTTGGTTGTATTGTCAAGGCACGGATGTTTAGGAGCCGTGCTCAATTATCCCTGTAGATGGCATTGTTCCTGCTAGATGGCAACACTGTGTTCAACAGATTGGCCCTATTAGGCTCGACCATCCTGCAAAAGGCAGCAAGGATCTCGACAGACTAAACTGATCTTGTGCCGCTCGCAGCTCGTTAAGCTATGAAATGGCGTAGGGGTGATGTCGCCTGGGAATCCGGCAAACACCAAGGTGTTCATGTCAGACACTGGGAGCACATCAACGAACTCGTAAGCTGCCAATTTATTGTTGGTTGGTCTCGTACAGATAGTGGCGTGACGTCTCTCTCTGTAGGCGACTGCCATAGTGTATGCCGATACGTGGAGCTCTCTAGCAGTGTCGATGGGCTTGTTGTTGGCTCAGCACTTACCAGCGGAATGGATCTCCAATCCCCTCTTTTGCGTTAGCTGACATCTCTTACCCGGAAAAGTGTCGCGGAAACCAATGTTGTGTCCGCCTCGGTATGTTTCCAGCCATGCAGCTACTGACATCATCTGAATATCTTGCTTCTGGCGAGTGTACTCTCTCAAGGAAAGGCTCCCACGTTCTGGTAAGATAGTTACTGAATACTCATCTGCAGTTGAGATAGTCTTCCCGCACAGAGTGAGCTATCCGCCTTCAAGGCGTACCCAGGTAATATATGTAAATCACTTAGCTTAGCTTCGAGATGTTGACACTGATGAGTTGTACTTTAGCATGGACGTTGTTCATTGCGTCGACTGTCAGCGACACCTTTCTGCTGGCAGGCTCATCTTACAAAATTGGAATTACGCCTTGCAGAAGAAGTTGGGGCCATCATATAGTCTCATCGCTTGCATCGTGGGACTAGGCGTCATCGTTTTCCTCACCATATTCTTCTAGTGTTGTTCTCATGTAGAAAACTGCGACACCGTTGAAAACGCTAGCATCGAGCACGGTCACACAATCCCGCAGGCATTCTCGCTTGTTTCTGACCCATACATGCCAATATAAGTCTCTCAACCTGCACCCCTATTTCAAGGACTCTGGATTGAATTGGAGAACCTACACCGGGTTCTACAGGCATGTTTGTCCCGTTTTCCAAGTACGAAAAGGTGTAGCCTATGTTGTTCAGGTTGCAAGCAGAGCTGTTAATGATTGAGTTTCATACGTTATGAATGGGACTACTCACTAAATGTAGGCTACTCATGAATGTTTTGCAATTGAATCGGACTTGTCGCTGGGAACGGAACAGATATACGTATCGCAAGCAGCATCCTTACATGCTCTTGCCATGCATTAATTTGCGAGTCAACGGGCCAATTTAAGAGAATCTGACTTCACAACACCACTGTATGACTACCTTGGGCTGCTTCAAGCTGGCAATGCACGAGTGTAGGTACGTGGTAAAATGTAAAAAGTATGTCTCGTTAGGACGTTAACGTGTCAATGACAAGTGTCATAACAAGGTTGCTCAACCTGGAATCAAAGCACGGGAGACAAACCGTAATCAACAACTCAGAAAGTTTAGCGTCATGCTCGCAGAAAAAATAGCAACTACTCGTTTCGATCGAGTGACCTCGGGGTTACATAATCTCGAGGTCGCTGACCGTCGATATGAGCCCCGCGCGCTACCCCTGCGCCAAGTTGCTGTGGAAGACTCACGACATTCTTCAGCCATCACCGTCAATAGGCAAACCTCTGTGGTCGACCCGCGCGCTAGTTGCGATCGCCCAAATGAAATACTAGTAGCCTGCTGAATCTTTTGAGAATTACTTGCAGGCCTTCGAGTCTGTGCCGACCCTGTACGAGTACACGGTGATCATGGCAACAGTCTCAAGCATTCACATTCGAGCACGCTCCCACCAGCAACTTAATTTTATAATGTGGTAGTGTACTTCCCTCGCGCGTATCGCGCGTCTAGGCTTTCAAGTCTCCCCGTTACACGTAGAGTATTAGGTGTACAGCCGTATAGTTAGTATCGTCCCTGGCCTCGCCGACGTTTAATACCAATGATTTAAAAAAAAAAAAAGATCATGGCAACAGTAGGTACGCAAACCGGAGCCTATCATAGACTCTTGCTGAGTAATTTTCCGGGATATTCTGGCCGTGTGAACGAGTTGTATGGGCTTCCTTGCGCATGGCACGACGTAGCTTTGTAATGCATACACAGTGGGAATTCTCCTGAGCCTTTGCTCTCCCACAGACACTTGACTGCTGTCTGCCGCCATCGCACACACTGTCTGCCAACCAAAAGGCTCATCCAACCAATGTTAGAGCAAGAGCAAGGGACAAGAGAAGTGCCTGCCCAGGAGGCGCATGCAGATGTGCCACCAGCCACGAGCCTGGACAGGCCTCACCCCAGCTCGACGGTCGACAGCGTCCCGCGAGATTTCTTTCTCATCCCCGTTCCAAAGCACCTGCGACACAGCCCTGGAAAGCCTGCACATTTTGGTTTGTTTCTCAACATTGTCTTCGCCGCTGCAACCACCTTCAGTGCGTTCTCTCTCAACTCTATGCTATCCAATCACTGACGCCCAGTTCTTGCCAGTCGTCTGTAATTTATACTGGTGTCAGCCTATCCTAAGTGAGCATAGTAGTACTCTCCGCCGGTAGCTAGCAGATGCTCACACAACACTTCAGTCGAGCTATCGCTAGCCTTCGACGTCTCCTATAATAAAGTATCTAATGTACCTACCCTTCTGCAAGGAGGGTACGTCTTCGCCGTCTGTTCTACCCACTCTTGAAGCTGAGAACTCTAATCAGCTATGCCGCCGGTCTCTTACTAATCGCACCCTTGGGCGACCTCGTCCGTCGCCGCCCTCTCATCCTCCTCCTCACTGCCCTCAGCACCGCCCTCACCTTTGGCCTCGCCTTCACCCGCTCGTTCGTCGCCTTCCAAATCCTTTCTTTCCTTATCGGCGCAGCCTCATGCACACCACAAATCCTCGTCCCGCTCGCAGCAGACATCGCCCCACCGCACCGCCGCGCCTCCGTGGTCTCGATTGTCATCTCCGGCCTTCTCTTCGGTATTCTCGTCGCTCGAGTGGTCGCCGGGCTCATAGCCGAATTCGTCTCGTGGAGAATCGTGTTTTACCTCGCGATCGGTCTCCAGGGATTCACATTTGCGATGCTCTACCCCCTCATGCCAGACTATCCCGTCCGCAACACCGGACTGACGTACGGCGGAATCCTGTGGTCCATGGCCAAATTTGCAGTCACCGAACCGGTTCTGATCCAAGCTTCATTGGTGAGCTTGGCATCCATGGCTTGCTTCACCAACTTTTGGGTAAGCGTCTCTCTATCCGTCATACAGCAAACTTATGTGCGTGTAGGTAACACTCACTTTTCTTCTCGGCGGAGCGCCCTACTTCTACTCGACGTAAGTTGACCCCCTCTCCCCACCCTCGCTTCCATTCGCTCTCCACTGACCAAGGTTTCCAGCCTCGTCATTGGCCTCTTCGGTCTGGTCGGCATGGCAGGCGTCCTGAGCGCACCACTCACCGGCCGCCTCATCGATAACCTCATCCCCTGGGTCGCCACCGTCATTTGCACTACCGGCCTTATCCTCTTCCAAGCCGTCCAGACGGGTGCAGGCGGCGTCACGGTCGCCGCCGTCGTGATCGCATGTTTCGGGATTGACGTGCTGAGGCAGATGCAGCAGGTGTCGTTGACGACGGCGGTATTTGCGTTAGATCCACAAGCGAGATCGAGGATGAACTCGGTGCTACTCGTCGCTGTCAGTCTTCTTCTTTCACTTGAGGATTTGTGTGCGGATTGACTAAACATTTCCAACATGCAGATCTTTGCAGGACAAATCATGGGTACAGCAGTTGGCACGAGCGTCTTCCTCAAATTCGGATGGAGACCCGCCGCGGCACTGTCACTCGCCTGGACGGGGTTCTGTCTATTCGTCATGCTCGTCCGCGGCCCTCACTGTTCGAGATACACCTGGTTCGGATACGAAGGCGGGTTGAGGCTTAGAAAACCGCCGGTAGAGTCTCAGAGTCAGGATGTGGAAAAGGCGCAGGAGACGGTGAGGGCGAGCGAGGAGAGCAGTAATGGTGGGGGGAAGAAGCAAGAGGGAGGAGAGGGAGAGAAGGAAAGTGTGTATAGGGTGGAGCAGCGGGGGGATGACCGGTCTGAGGACAGTGCGAGCACAAAACGGAACTAGTAATGTTGCCAGATTTGTCATGTACCGCTATAGAGTCTACGTTCCTAGGTCAAATTGATTCTAATGCAAAGCACTATTGGTGGTGACGGTTTGTGAACGTACGTAGGCCTTTCGGGCCTGAGCTATTCATTCTCGCAGACATTGAGTGGTGATAGACCCGGCAAGGTCATTTAATTCATGATACATGGGATCGAGATAGTTGCTGAACAAAGGAAACAACTGCAGTACTCACACACCTCTATTGGCACTCTGAGCCATTTACAATAGTAGTCAGCGGCGAAACACAGACTCTTAATCTTGCAGGAAAGGACAGGAGAGGTAAACTGCAAGCAAGCATGAATCAGAACAGAGCTCTAGCAGCACAGAGAAGGATGAGGGGTCAGAGGTGTCATGTTCTGGAGCACGCCCCGACAAAGCAGGTTCCTCCTTGAAGAAATTCAATTCAAAGCGAAAAGAAGCATCATTGCAAGACTCAAATAGCCACCGAAAACTCACCTACACCACGTCCCATATCCAAGTCATAGAACGGACGAACCGTTCGTGGCGAGGGAAAAATAAGCTTTTGACAAAAGAGTCAATGGCGGAACAGGTCTGCAACGGCCAAGAGTAAGCCCCATTCCGTTGACAACCCCCTCCTGAGAAAAGGGGGGCTGCAATCGCATAACTATGTCTATGAGTAAGACGTTGCCGACCGGCCCTCGAGCGAAGTCTGAGCTCGAGCCGACGCTCGTATCTTTGCACCAGCTCGAGCCTTCACCAAACTCCGCCTTCGAGCCAGTGCATCGGCAGCAGGCTGACAGCAGGACGAGTCTTGCGTTTATCTACGCGTGAGCGCATCCAACACAGAGCAGATGATATTCCTGGTCTCGTCCATGGTCCCTCCGCCAAACGTTTGTGAGGCCCGCCGCGCTTGGAGGCGAGGGTTTACCGGACGAATAAAACGGAGGGGGAGGACTTGAGCTCTGCATCTCCGGGGACTTTCCCCACAGCTTGAGTTGAAGGTGGTGAGTAACCTTCTGTGTGTGAGCTGCGACAGCGATTCTTTGGTCGTTGCAGGTGTGTTTGAACAAAAAAAAAACAACGCGCAGGGATTATATGGAACACTTTTTTTTAACTCCGATGGCATTAGCCGAGATATATATTGTGCGTCACTCGTGTATAGCGGGTGCTTTAACACACATAGACGTCCCCAGTCGTGTCTTGACCTCCATTCGCCATAATGGCGAACTCGACATCTCCATCGTCGTCTTCATCTGAACAAACGAAACGCGAGCCACACCAATACACCATCCTCGTAAACAAGCTGCCACAGGTTTCGATACAAGTACCCAAGGATCCGACTCGTCAGGCGTTTCTTTACCTGTGTAGAAACGGATGACTGACCACGTCCACCTCAACAGGACCTCTTGGAACTGAGTCCTCGGAACGGTGCTTTACATACTGCTCGCAAAGCCTCTCCGGGCGCATGCACAAGCAAGAGCCCTGGTGCCGTACCGTATGCTTACGCAGGGTCTTCAAGACCGAAATTAGCGGTGTACGCACTACTATCTTCCTTCCTCACATGCACATATCTGATATGACCCTCCAAGACACTCCTGACGAGCGGACAAGAAATCGAAATGAAGTTCCCTCTCCCGCCGGAAGGCCAGAAAGGCGCACACCTCGTACAGTCGTTGCTCGGAGCCAAGCACAGCGGCAAGGGTACGGGTGACGATGGTGGTGCGGAACCCGACTGGAAGGCATTGGCGAGTGCTACTGGCTTGAAAGACGTCCAAGTGTGGCAGCCCGGATGGTACTTGTACATGTCGAAGCGACTAGCCCCTTCTGTGAATGAGCTTTCGAGCATGCAGCATTCAATCTGGGAAGACCACAAATTCCGGGTCAACTACGAGCATTATCTGAAGAATCACTCGCATAAGAGTATGAAGGAGCTCGCTGACGAGTTTCCAGGAATGATGCCTGGTATGGCCAAGGACGTCGCACGTATGGTTGAAATGTACGTCGTTCCACTAATACTGCGTTCGCCCTGTTGGCTGGAGCTGATACAGCCGCTCCCTCAGTGAAGGAACGATTCTTGTGCCGCTCCCTCCTCCCATGCCCTCGTTGAACGAGTCGCTCAGCCAGCTGTTGACACCGACGTCAAAAATGCTCAAGCTGACTGCGGACAGCATCACTTCCGGCCGACAGGCGGAACTTGCTGGGCGGTTGTGGGAGAAGGCGCAGACAAAGGATCCGTTCATTCTTGCCAGCAATGTGTTGCAGAAGGCGTGGAAGACTTTGCGGAATGTGGACGACGATGACGATGGTTCTGGTAGGAATCGCCCGTAAAAGTGTTTTGCCAATGTTTTCCTGTGATTGGTATGTACTCTTTTGTGTGATGTATAGATGAATCACATTCGATCTCAGCTATAGTCCATGGGAGATCGTGGTGTTACCGACGTCACATTTGTAGACAAGAGCTATTGTGCGACGCTATAA